TTCAGATCATATTTCAGAATAGCCTGTTGTACAGTAGAAATGTACAGTCATGTACAACCAAGCAGGTAGATGTAAACATGTAAAGAATAATGAAATCATCTGTCATGTGGAAACATGCTTGAACAATGTTAGTGAAGCAAAAAATAAAAATGTTAAGAAAGAAATCACCTTGTCCAATAGAATAATCTGCCAAAGCCGAAACATACCAAGGTAACTTTTCTCCCTTGCTGAAAATGAGCTGAAGAACAACTGTGGAAAATTACAAATTATATATTTTTGTCAGAAAAAAAAAGAATGTATCCTATATACATGTAGCCTATCTTCATAAATAAGAAAAAAATAAAAGAATGAAAAACCTTTGATCTCTGAACTTCACCTTCTCTGAATTAGTACTGATCTGGATGGCATTTGGTATCCATTTCGCTGTCTTCTCACGTGACAATGAGATGATATCCTGCATATTTACTGTGATCTAAGATAAAGTTAGTTTATTGTCATTTTTCACAAAGCAGAGCGATGGAATCTATAAGAAATTACAAACAATATCTTAGCTATGCTCAAATAGCGGTATTTAAGAGGTACAGTGAATATATAATATAATCTTTCTGTGGAACTCACTTTTGTACCACGAAAAACCTGACTGTAGAAACATAAACAATTCTCTGTAAGGTAGATGCGTCCTTGTAACAAGATATCCTTTTGGAGAGCACAGGTGTAGTCTAGGGAAAAGTCGGATCATTCAAACAACATCTAATATACAAATATTGTGGCTCAGCCAACCAACATTTTCAGGTAGAGTATATTTTTACATTGTTTATTTGTTTTTTCTCTCTGTCTCCCTCTACCAGTCTCACCTGCAATTAGTTTCTCAGACTCAGGCACCTCTTTGAATAACCTCCGAAACTCGTCACTCCTCTGTTTATAACTAGTGTAGAGCAATGCTTCAGGTGACTGAGGTGCTGCTATGCACTGCCCACTGACTTCTAGTACCTGTGAGGTAAAAGCACAATCAATCAATCAATCAATCAATCAATCAATAAATAAATGTTTATACATACAATGTTTGTGAATCAGTGAAATAGATACTTTAAAAGCTGCATGCTCCCAGGAACAACACGTTTCACATGCCCAAGAGCCTACTAATATCTCACAACATTTAGCAAGCAATGCCATTTGTGTAATCTCATCATGATACAGTGTCTGTAATCTTTTGCAGGACAAAGTACAGCAAACTGTACAATATCATTCTGCTAAAGATCATATCTATAAATGGAAGTAAATACAGTGCTGCCATGTGACTTCTACCAATTTAATCTTAGTAAAAGCGTGCATATTCATTCTCACCTCTTGTTCTTCTGAGCTCCATTTGCCTTCCCCAGATTGATTGTTGTCCTGTGTGAGCTCACTGGCTGTCACTTGTTTAGGTGTTTGGGTCATGTCTTTCACCTGGTGAAGTAAAACTTAGTGGCTTCTATATCAATTTGTTAAAGGTAATAAATGTTTTTCTCATTGAATAATAAGTTAGATTGATCTACTGGCTATTAACTAAACCAATAAGCTCACTAAACTATTTTATTTTATTTGACAGTGCCACAAATATTTTAGAACTTCTTCCTGCAAATTAAAACAAAACATGCTGTTGGGAGAAAATACTTAGTTTTGCAGACATTCTAAACTCTCTTTCTCTCTCAAAAAAAAAAAAGTTTAAAAAGGATTTTCTCATCGATTCCATTAAAATAAATTTCTGGTTCCCCAAAGAACCTTTAAATCAGGACTGTCCAAACTCGGTCCTGGAGGGCCGATGTCCTGTTTAGCTCCAACCCTAATTAAACACACCTGAACCAGCTAATCAAGCTCTTACTAGGCATAGAAACTTCCAGTCAGGTGTGTTGAGGCAAGTTGGAGCTAAACTCTGCAGGACACCGGCCCTCCAGGACCGAGTTTGGACAGCCCTGCTTTAAATTAACCATTTTTTCTTATTGTAAGGAACATTTTAATTATCTAAAGAACTTTTTTCTACTATAAAGAACCTTTTATAAAATGGAATGTTCTTCATTGAACCACAGATGCTAACCTTGGCAGAAACATTACAGAACATTAAGAGAAAAAAACTTAGTAAAGACTAAGTATGAAAGAAAGACTTATCAAAGGCTTTTCTCATATCCTAGCCTACAAAATAGGCTACTTACCTGAGAAGGTAAATCCTGGTTATGTGGGACCCAGGTTTTTACGAATTGGGGTTGTGAGAAGGTTATCATGAACTTCAATCGTTGCAGATATTCCAAATGCCCGTAAACTTCCGACAGCAGTGATTAGTGTCGTTGGCGTGTTGAGGTGTTGTCTGTCTCGGTTGTTGCGACTGTCCTCACACCTGGCAACAGGTGTACAGTCAGAATCTACCAGCTCATGAAGCAACGTGCCATTCATCGCTGAGAACAACACTTTTGTATTTGCATATTTTACATGTGACACCAAGGAGCCTCCTTCGGGTTTTTTTGTTTTTATTTTTTATCTAAACTACAACGATCATATTTTATTAAAAATGAAGAAGTTGACAAAATATTTATTTTAGACATTTATATTTATATTATTGTAGCCTATATATTAATTTCTTAGATGTATAGGCCTAATTTTTTATTTTTGTTATATTGGCTAATTCAGAATTCAAAATATGTTCAAAATACTATTATATATTTTTACAAATAAAATAGGCTATAGGCCTATATGTTTATAAACATTTAAGTATATAAACATTTCGGAATTTTCATATAGGATAAGTTTGCAAACAAATCGCGTTCACTTGAGGTAAGCATATCAACGGCAGACCCCTCTAATTTCGATTTATAAAATTAGTTTGAAATAACGGAAATTGTAGTGATGTATTAAACAAACGTGATGTTCTCTAACCTTTTAAAACGCTCTTGCACCAGTTCAGGCACATAACTTTTTTCAAAAGACCCAAGAATCTTAAAAGACTACATTATACTGGTTAATGAGGTTCTGACACTTAAGGTCATATCAAGGTTATATAAGGCTAGATTTATCTATGGCATTTAATATGATGTGTAACAAGATAAAGTCAAACAACCTAATCATAGACACAAGTTAGTTATGGCAGTTTTTGCAACACATGGAGATAAGACTAGAAAGTGTTACTGTATACAGTCATGGCCAAAAGTTCTGGCCGTGATAGAAATGTAGTGTTTTGCAAAGTTTGCTGCTTAAGCTGTTTCATTCACATTGTTTCTAGATTATTGTGTAGAGTGATCAGATGCATTTTAAATAATTGCAAAAAGCTTCATTGGCCAAAAAAAATGAACTTTTCACAAAAAAACAAATGTCACTGTTTTTTGATCCGGACACCAAATGACCAGCTAACATTAATTAACTAATCATATCAGCAGCACATGTGAAAGTGTGAATGAGTACTAGTCAGGTGAAATCACTATCATACTAATTAGATTATAAGAGCAGACTGATTGCAATAAAAGGAGGGAAGAAGTGCTTCCAATCATTGTGTTCTTGTTAGCAATGGTTACCTCCAAAAAAAACACGGGCAGCCATCATTGCTTTGCATCAAAATGGCCTCACATGCAAGGAAATTGCTACAAATAATATTGTACCTGAAAGAACCATTTACCGGATCATCAAGAACTTCAAGGAGAGAGGTTCGACTGCAGTGAAGAAGTCTTCAGGATGTCCCAGATTGTCCAGCAAGCGCCAGAACCGTCTCCTCCTGAGGAGTCAGCTACGGAATCGTGTCAACACCAGTGCAGAGCTTGCTCAGGAATGGCAGCAGGTCGATGTGAGAGCATCTGCACACACAGTGAGGCCAAGACTTTTGGACAACGGCCTGGTGTCAAGAAGGGCAGCAAAAAAAACGCTTCTCTCCAAGAAAAACATCAAGGACAGACTGAAATTCTGCAGGAAGTACAAGGACTGGACAGCAGAAGACTGGTGCAAAGTTATTTTCTCTGATGAAGCTCCTTTCCGACTGTTTGGGACATCTGGAAAATCGATTGTTTGGAGAAGGTGAACGCTACCACGAGTCCTGTGTTGTGCCAACAGTGAAGCATCCTGAGACCATGTGTGGGGTTGCTTTTCAACCAAGGGAGTGGACTCTCTCATAATTCTTCCCAAAAACACTGTCATGAATAAAGAATGATATCAAAACGTCCTGCAAGAGCGACTTCTTCCAACGATCCATGAGCAATTTGGTGATCCGTGCATTTTCCAGCACTTTTATCAAAGCAGGAGTGATTTAAAGAAGTGGCTCTAAGATCATTACATTGAAATTTTGGATCTGTGGCCAGGCAACTCCCCGGATCTCAATCCCATAGAGAACCTGTGGTCAGTCCTCAAAAGGTGAGTGGACAAGCAGAAGCCCACAAATTGTGATCAACTCTGAGAACTAATAAGGCAAGAATGGATCGCCAGGATTTGGCCCAGAAGCTAGCATGCCAGAGCGAATTGCAAAGGTTATGAAGAACAAGGGTCAACACTGAAAATATTGACTCATTATATATTATTATTTTTTGCCAATATAAGCCTTTAAAACTTATATGCTTATTGTTTTTCAGTATACCATAGAAACATGTGGAAAAATAATCTACAAATACTGAAGCAGCAAACTTTGCAAAACACAAAATGTATGTCACTGCCAAAACTTTTGGCCATGACTGTAGACAAGAAACCAGGGCAGGGAACTAGAGTAGCCACATTCCAGTTCCAAGATGAGAAAATGCAATAAGACCAGATAAACAAACTGACATCATTCATATGCACACACAGGTAAATAGATTGCATTTATATGCAGACACTTATGCATTAACATGATAATCAACCTCTGAGAACAAACCAAACTTAAGGGTGAGAAATGGAAGAAAGGTGTAACTTTGCCATGAAAATGGACCCATCAAGTGTTTGGATGAATAGTAGGCCACAGATGCAGGTAGATATTCCTATCTTAAAAGCTACATTTGTAATCTAGATGTTAAAATGGATGTAAGTTTGACAAAACTATTTTTTACCCTAGAAATAACGGGAATAGTTATTCGCTTTTATGATATGCCATTTTATATGCCAAATCATATGATACTGGTAAGAAGTGCATAGTTCTTGGCTACACAATGACTTACACAAAGCTAGAAATACTTGAGGAACTACTCTCTACAGTGATGAAAAGTTTGCAAACACACCACAACCCAACTTATTTTTAAAGCACTTTTTACACAGTACATACCTCAAAACAGGTGTAAAATGATGAGCACATGACTAAGCCAAGGGTGATGGTTAAATATCTTCATTTGGAGAAATAGAAGAAATTTTGAAAGTAGAGCAACAGTTTTAAATTTTTTGAGAATAATTTCCACATATTTCATATTAATAGCCCTGATAATCTTGCTTGCTCAAATTTTATCTGAAAAGGATCAAACATTTATGCAAACAAAGATGGGGGGGGAGGCTGAAGGACTGTTAACCAAATATATTTGGTTAAAACAAACTACTAAAAAGCATTTTGTTTAAAAATGCAGAACCCCAAAACACATCCACTTAAAAACAGTTATTCACAATACTTGTAAATTCATCAATATTTATTTATATTTTTCCAGGACTCATGTGAGCAATGAAGAGGAAGTGTCCTCAAAGAAATATACAGGACAATACTGCAATAAACATCCATACCAAAAACGACAAGAAATATGTTGGCAACCATTAAAACTGTAAATATTCCAGCAGTAAATATAGTGAATCTCTGAAGTCATGTCTTCCAGTCTTCTGTACAGATAAAAATAGAACAATAATTACATCGTTATTTAATAACATCTATAGAGAGGATGATCTGTAAAATATAAACTGAAGCAGAGGCTTTGAAGAGGATCATACAGATTGCACATATACACAAATGCACACGCACACACACAAAGGTATTTTGAGACACCTCAAGAACACTAGAGCATCTATAACACCACAAGATGAACAAAAAGCAGTGGAATGTATTAGACAGCAATAAGACAAAGGAAAAGGACATTGACTGTGTGCATTGGGGGGATGTGGGGTTCTGCTGCCCTGCCCTGAGAATGATGGCTAGGGACAGACTCTTAGTCTTCAAGTGTTCGGAAGGAGTTCTGCATGTCTTCATGGAGTTGAGCGTAATCAGCTTTGATCTTCTCCTCACCCTCTTTTACTGGGTCCTGAAATACATTGAAAGACATTTTTTTTTTTTAAATATGCCAACTTTTTTCATTGCTAAAATAAAAAGATAAAGTATAATTATGGAATAAAATGATTTAAATTAGTTGAAAGAAACAGTTTTCTAAATCAATGCATGTTTTTATGTTTTACAAACAATTACAATATTTTTATAGCTTTAATGAACAATGAAATTTAAAAATGAAGTGTCATTTCTTTTCAAATGTGTAAGTCTTTTCAAATACTCCCAGTCAACAAACAGAATACTTATAACTGGCAGCATGTTAAGCTGGGATAGAAAAGAAGTATTTTATCTTCACACAAAAAGAACACACTTTAGCTTTAAAAATAATACCAAGACATCGATTCGCTAAAGGAGGCCTTTGCTCACCCCCCGGAGCCATGTGAGACACTTTTTTTTATGCATGGGCGCTTTTTATTTAACTTCTTTTGGACTGAAGCAATGCAACACCTGCTGACTGCAATGATAGAGCTTGAAAGATCAAAGACAATTTTTAATATAACTCCGACTGGATTCGTCTGAAAGAAGAAAGTCATATACACCTAGGATGCCTCGGGGGGTGAGTAAAACACAGCCTAATTTTCATTTTTGGGTGAACTAACCCTTTAACATTCAACCTCTGGCCATATAATGTGATTAAACTGAACTGTTTAGCTTGTTCACAAGACTTGATCACTATGAAAGAGGAACCAAGCTATTGGCATACCAAGATAATGGAAGTCATAATAAATCAAGTGGTAGAGCAGTGGACACTAGTTAGGAACCTCAGCAAACTTCCAAAAGGGCTTTAAGTTTACTTAATTAAATAAAATAATTTGTTAAAATAATTGTATTAAAGTGGCTTGGAGTCTACTGGTTTAGACATAATCAAGGCATGATTCATTTAAAACACAAACAATGTTTACATTCTGTACCTTAAATTTCATGGAACTGATCCTGTAGAGAATTTCTCCCATGTGTTCCCGGATCATGGCCCAGGTGATCTTATTGTCGCTCTGTGCAGTGGTCTCTACGGCATGACGTGCCATATCATAGAACGCAATCATGTTGGACAAGATACCCACTGTCTTATAGAACGGACAAAACCTGAAAATGAGAAACTGAGCATTTCAGATCCATACAGTCACATGTCATTTGACAAAGCAGTTGAATGATCCTCAGTTTCAATCAGTTTAATACCTGTCATAAGGTGTGTATCCATTTTGCTGCAGGAAATCATCTTTGATTAATTTGGCAACTTCCAGCGTGATCTTATCCGTTTCAGCCAAAGATGCCTAAAAAAATAAATGTGTTTTACCACTGAAAACTACCACAAAAAGTGATGTATACAAACAGTAAACATGAATGAACCCACAAACCCACCTTCCCCACAAGCTGCACAATCTCAGCCAAGTCTTCCTCTTCCTGCAGGATCTCTTTGGCTTTGGTACGCAGTGGTACAAATTCAGGGAAGTGCTTGTCGTAGTACTCGTCCAGTGCTCGTGTGTACTTACTGTAACTGATGAGCCAGTTCACTGAAGGGAAGTGCTTTCTCTGAGCCAGCTTTTTATCCAGACCCCAAAACACCTGGGAGTGAGAAAGAATGGAAGGCTTACAATAACAAAAAAGGACCGTTTATTTCTGCAAGAAGAACAAATTATGTTATTTTGCTATGAGCCAGTGTATTAAGACTGCTGTGTGAAGGAAATCTACACTTACTTGTACGATACCAAGAGTAGCAGATGTCACAGGATCTGAGAAATCACCACCAGGGGGAGACACACTGCAGTTAAAACAAAAAAAAAGCTTCAGCGAGTCTGCAGACAATATCACAACAGCAGTCATAAATAATAAATCAAAACTTTACCAAAGCAAATGATGGAGACTGAAGAAGAAAAAGCATTTAAACAAGTCCAACAGATCTACTTACGCTCCCACAATGCTCACACTGCCCTCTCTCTCTGGGTTACCAAGACATTTAACTCGACCAGCACGCTCATAAAATGAAGCCAGACGTGCTCCGAGATAGGCAGGATAACCGCTATCTGTGAACACCAGCACAAATTTTATTTATAATTTGTAGTTTATAATATGTGCTGTCATGACTGAGATGGTCACGGCACACATACCAGCAGGCATCTCAGCCAGACGACCGGAGATCTCCCTCAGAGCTTCTGCCCATCGAGACGTGGAGTCAGCCATCATACTCACATTGTAGCCCATGTCCCTGAAATACTCAGACAGCGTGATTCCTGGACAGAATAAACACCTGATGACAACACAGCTGCTGGGTTTTAAAGCACACACATTATTTTTGTATCAAATGTTAAATAAACCTGTGTAAATGGAAGCTTCTCTGGCAGCCACAGGCATGTTGGATGTGTTGGCAACCAAGGCTGTTCTCTTCATGATGCTCTCTACTTTCCCATCCACCTCCATGGTGAGCTATAGGGCAAGAGAACTGTCAATCCCCCTACCATCTATTACTGTGTTTTTGCTGTTGGTACAATGACAGTGCTATTCACCTCAGGGAAATCTCGGAGTACTTCAGACATCTCGTTACCACGCTCTCCACAGCCGACGTAGACGATGACATCACTGTTGGAGTACTTGGACAGGGACTGAGAGATCACAGTTTTACCACAACCGAAAGCACCAGGGATGGCAGTGGTCCCTCCCTGCACACACCTGTTAAATCAAACAGTGAAAGTCGAAAGATCTGTTAAACTACCAGACATGTACACTACTGTTCAAAGGTTTTTTTTTTTTTTTAAGCAATTAATAATTTTATTCAGCAAAATACATTAAATTGATCAAAAGTGACAGTAAAGACATTTATAATGCTACAAATGATTTAAAAGAATCCTGAAAAAATGTATCAAGGTTTCCTCAAATATATTAAACAGCATAGCTGTTTTCAACATCAATAACAATAAATGTTTCTTAAACACCAAATCTGCATATCAGTATGATTTCTGAAGGATCATGTGACAATGAAGACTGCAGTAATTGCGGCTGAAAATGTAGCTTCACCATCACAGGTATAAATTACATTTTAAAACATATTCAAATAGAAAACTGTTGTATTTTTATCAAACGGTTGTAATATTTCACCATTTGTTTTTACTATTTTTGATCAAATAAATGCAGCCTTGAGGAGTATAAGAGACTTCTTTCAAAAACACTAAAATGACCCCATATCTGTATCATTTATAATATCCACATTCACAATAATGTAATGTACTACATTCTATTCCTATAATTATTTAAACCAATTATTTAACCACATTATTTTTGATGTTTAAGAAAATCCTCTATTATTAAAAAATCCTTTGGGGAAAATTAAGCTTTTAAAATGCATGATTTGTCCATTATGTGTCATCTGAACATTGAGCCGCCTATTATTATAAAAAATTACATTTGCAATTACTTTTTTTTTTATTTTTTTTTACTTATATTATATATTAGTTTTAACTTATATTATTAAATTTCCTATGGAATCATTTCACACAGTGTGACTCACGGAAAGAGGGCATCCAGTACCCGCTGACCAGTCAGCAGAGGGTGATTTGCAGGAAGTTTCTCGGTGACTGGCCGGACCTGACGCACTGGCCACACTTGCACCATGGTGTTCTTCTCTTTTACCCCCTCAAACTCCAACTCCAACACCACATCCTGACAAATACACATTCACATTGACTTCTGTGTCACAATAATGATCATTTTACTGTTTTTGAAAAAGATGTACATTTTATTAGCCTCACCGAGACATCATAGTTTCCAGGTGGTGCTACGTATGTGACAGTTCCTCGGCTTTTTGGTGGTAACATTATTTTGTGTTTAATAAGAGAGTTTTCAAACACCATACCATAGATATCACCTCCAGTGACGTGACTGCCAACCTGGACACAGAAACAACAGCTTAAAATCATTCAGTCATCTGATTAATCACCTGATACCATTGGAGTTTCTTTAAAAGAGGTTATATATTTGGGATACATGCAGAGCAGTAGGTGCTACACACAGCCAGGAACAGCACAAACTGTCAAGTTTCTAAGATTTTATAGTACAATGATCTTTTTAAATCGCAAAAGATTACAACAATTTTTTATATACTCATGATATGACCCCTTAAAGCTGCTAAGTGATTTGCCTTCTTGGAACCTGAAAGGATGTTAAATCATAACCAAGAAAAACAAAACAAAAAACATCACAACTATCATAACCAAAACTAAACTTAACTTAAAACTAATCTTTCACTTACTCGCACGCTCTTGGATGGAGAGAACTCCCATTTCAGATCACGGTTAAGGGCACCAATGTTGACTCCTCTAGGAATGTAGATACTTTGGGTGAGGTCATTGATGTCTTTGAGGGGACGCTGAATTCCATCAAAGATGGAGCCCATGATTCCTGGTCCTAACTCCACAGAGAGGGGCTTCCCTGTGCGCAGGACAGGGTCACCAACCGACACACCAGCTGATGAAAGCTCAGGAAAACTACAATACTATTTAACAGATTCTACACACTGTGCACAACATAAACCACAGAAAGTCCTGTACTAAGGTAAGAATAGGATACATGTCTCTTCATAGACCTGAACGGTGGCCATGTCACCCTCCAGTCTAATGATCTCTCCCACAAGCTCACTGTGGCCCACTCTCACCAGCTCGTACATGGCAGCTCCTGCCATACTGGAGGCCGTCACCACTATAACACAATTAGTGAGTCAGTAATGTGATTATCAAAAATTACTTGTGAACATTTAAAGTTTAACAATAGCTAAATAAAAATGAAAAAAATATTTTATATATATACACTGAACAAAATTATAAACGCAAGCTCATGAAAAATGGGGGCAAAAACAAAAGTGTTGCGTTTATAATTTTGTTCAGTGTATATATAGTTATTTTTTATTTTAACTTAGCTATTGTTAAACTTTAACTGTTCAATTTTATATATACAGTGGGTACGGAAAGTATTCAGACCCCCTTCAATTTTTCACTCTTTGTTATATTGCAGCCACTT